ACAATGTTCTGTTTTACATAGGAAGCTTTTACATTTTGCTTAGATAAAAGCAGTATCATCCTCCCTTTCATTAATTCAGCAAGAAAAGAGTAAGTTGAAATGTAAGTATACTGCTTTCAGTCAGTTCAAGGCATGTGAATGCAAAGTGTAATTTAAAGCAGCCTTTAATGATGTAATAATTACAATTCAGGTTTTTGGCAAGCTACCCTGAAAATCTGAATTAAAAGTTGTACAAAAATATCTATAATAATACAATTTTTATAAATGTAAAGCATGTCCATGCAAAGCACTTTTAAACGCATCCTCTAGTTTTGATTGGTGACAATATGCAGTAATAGGTTTTTGAAAAGAAAAAAAAGAAAAGAAAAATTGTTGCTTAAGTTTTATTTTATTGCAGATGTTCAGATGTTTTGATACAATTCATATATAAAATGAAAGTGAAAATTTTGCACTTTATAGTAATTTTTCAGGAACTTTTGCACAAACAGAACAAAAAGCTTAAAAACTATAAAATAGCTTCATGTTTCTGTAGCACTTTATAAAATCCTGTATATCTTCAATAGTTACAACATTCTTATTTTTTAAAAATTGGTTATTTGTAAATAATTGTTGATTGTATTATTACTTTAAATTCTGAATTGCTAATTGTATTTTTATTTTAAACTCTCTGAATTCTGTTTTTTTTTCCCCTCAGTGTTTACCATAGCTATGCAGGAAGCAATAACACTTTGATCTTAGCACTACCAAAACTGAGCTATAAAAGGCTAGACAACTCGATACTAGTAAAGGGGTATAGAAAATGCTTTCCTGCCATCTAGCAGTTGTCCAGGTTTTTACTCAGATCTCGTAGCCCCAAGTTGACATCAGTTTCCAAGATTTTGCCAGACCTAACCCCAAAGCAAACTCTCTTACCAGTTTTTTCAGATCAACAAATGGGTGGCATAGGTAAAAATATTACAAACAATAATTAGGGGAGAGAAAAGAGGCTTACCCCAAATACAAACTTTCATTTCAATTCTGCATGAATGTAAAGCATAAAGTGATACAATAAATTTCATAGTGAGGCAGACTTGCTTTCATCCTAATTCTCTGGGGCTAATGTGGGACAGGGGAAGCTTACCAATAGCTTGTGTTACATGCCACTGACTACACTAAACTTCCTCCCCTCAGGAAGTGTTTGTAAGCATTCTCCCACATAACCAGTTCATTAAAAACTTTAACTAGCAGCTAAATAAGTGCCAATCAGGGTCAAGGAAGAAGAATGATGACATTCCATCTCTAAAATGTAACACAACAGGGTAATTCAGTTCCTGCAAACTTTATTTATCTAAGTTCAGCATCCTTCTGGAAAAGATCTCTCTGGCCCATTTCCTTTATGTAACTATTATTTTTTATCACATGCATTGACATTATTTATGGTTATTACCTTTTTTTAACCAGATACCTGTCCTGTCATAAAATAATCATTAAGCTGATTGCTTAATGCAAAAAATATGATACTAAGGGGCAGATAATTTTATAATCTTATTCAAGAAAATTTACAGCAGTATTGCGTATATCCACACAAAAGCAAGCCCCTTTATTTTCAGAGAAATACATACATGAGTAGAGCATTAATAATATTTCAAGAATCTGTTAAAGTTGTATGTGGTGATTTAAGCACATTTCTAATGCCAAATATCCTATGGAAAATGTTCACGACATTTTGAACATCAAAATTCTTTAATATGAAATTGGACTTGAATAATGTCTTACTTATACTAAAATTCTATTACTTATCTCAGACTAAATAAATATATCCCATATACTTGCATCTTTTAAAAATATGAAAACATCAAAGGGGAAAAGCTGGAATGGCTTATCTTTATTCAAGCTCTGTATACTGTTTTGCTGACTGGGATATGTCTGCTAAATTTTCTTCCCCTTGAAATAATAACATTCAAGAAAGTAAATTCAGGAAATGCTACTGCTACTGTATGAAATATTAAATACAATAGTATTGTATGATACTATTCACATTAAAGACCTCAGACAACACTTGACTATTGCCTTTTTTGAAGCTGTGTTCAACAGAGAAACTGTAATGGCAGAGACAAATATGCATGTTAAATATTACGAACTATTCTTATTTTATTGCTTACTTTCTTTTGCATGATCCTTGTGATATTTTTACTTTATCACCAGCAAAGTAGACTCAGTCTGGAGTTGGGTGGCACTCAAATCAAATCAAATCAAATCAAATCAAAAAGATTTTTTTAGAATACGTCAAGCTAACTATGCTAAATTTTGGCAAAGAGCCTTAAAGAGGTTTTAAAAAGTCATCAGAAAACATCTGCCATACTATATAACTATGGTGCCATTAAAAATAGTATAATATTTTACATTCTTGAATTCCCAGTATTCCATTGTTTCATTGCCAGTTTTAGTGATTCATCATCACTAAACAATTATGGATCATCTAGTGAATATAATGAAATATAGCACCTCACCAGAGTAGAAAACCCACAGCCAATATGCAGCTTAAGCACCCAAAACCATCAGATTTTGCTGTCATCATTTGGCAGCAAAATGGCTGATTCTCAGCACATTTCTCTTCCTTCATTCAAAAATATGATAAAAAGGAAGCACTCCCTTTCTACCCTTAATCTTACTCCAAAAATTCCCACATTGGCCCCTAATTAACTACCACAATATAGCTATTTTGCCACTGAATTTCAGATGATTTTGGTCAATGTTTTTTTTTCAAAGTGGAGATTGCCTACTCCCATTCTCATCCTTAAGGCCCCTTGCCAAATATACTTTGTAATGCAACAGGGAAACTTTTGGTGGCCAAGGCCTACACACAGCATTTGGGGAGGGGATCAATGCTGCAAAATGGGAAAATTGTGTTCAGGGTCATTTATAGGTTTTCTTTGTTTTTAACCATTATATACCTATTTCAGGCTTATACTCCTGAGTTTCACTATTCAGTATTCAGCACTTGTAGTGACATTGTCACTAGGGATATAAAATTGGGCCACAGGGAGCATGTGGTCTTAAGGTAGCATGTGGAATACAAGTAATTTAACACTGTTAATGTCCTCTGCACATGCACTCAACATCCCACTGTTTTCAGTGATATTTATTTCTAGGTAAGTGTGAAGAAGGCAGCATAGTAAATGGTCCAATTTTGGCCAAAATATTAATTCTGATAAATACATATGCATGGAACTATCTCTATAGTTCAGAGTATATTTTGGAAAAGGAATATTAAGCCCACCCATGAAGTACATGACAAATTCCAATATTTAAATCTTTAATTGTTTAGGTACAGTGTAACAATTATCCTCTTTAAAAATAATGACACTGAAAACACATATTGATATTAAAAAGGTTAAAAAACACTTCAACATCAATAGTTAATTCTGATTAAGCAGGGATCCAAAACAAAGAGTGCATTAATAAAAGCACATTTAATTATAAACATAGCCACAACAATGAAGCCACAAAAACAAAGAAAAGCAAAATTATTTCACATATACCAAATCACATACATAGAATTAAATTATGCTATTAGGTATAAATTAGTAATGGTTTATTTTGTTCATGACAATGCAATATAACATCAACATAGACCCTGCAGTTTAAAAGTGATACAATAAACATATTAAATGTATTATGGAGCTTGAGAAATTTCTTTTTTATTTTTTTCCAATATCATTATGCTGGATTCTACGTCAAATGTTCCAATTTCTTGTCAATTGAATCACGTGAGTTATTCCACACTAATAAATATTTTCAGTATACAGAGTAACTTAGTTAATAACCAAATCACTGAACAAATTTCTTTATGAGGTAACCAATCACAGCAGCACAGGAAGAGGTATAAGATTGTAGATGGTATTATAAGCCAAGATCCTGATTTCCCTTTCAGTATAAAAACTCTATAAAAATATAAATATTTTAAGCAATATATAAAAAGATAAAGAAACTTCCATGACACAAAGTTCTATCTTTATGTTAACACAGAATAAATAAATATTACATACATACACCCAAACACACACATATGTACACTCCTGATTTGACCCTTTTGCTTAATGAAACCAGCAGGAGGTGGCAGTAACTTCTTACTAAGAGGCTGAAATCTAAAAACACCAAAGAAGGATGATGTGACCTGTATATCAATAAATGAAAGAAAAGCAACTAGAAAACTGCTTAAAATCTGTAATCCAAATTACACAACAGGGGAAGGGAGTACTATCCCAAAATATTTGGTAATACTTAAATGTAATAATAAACATATATCCATACATGCTCTGGAATTAAGTACTTTATAGGCAATAGAGTTGATTTAAAGCTTCTAATTTAATCTGAACCTGGACAACTCTGCTTTATTTGTACCAGGAAAAGAACTTTTAAATATTTTCTTCTTGCAGAAGCAGGAAGGGAAAGCATGCAATTATAGGCTTATGTTCACCATATTCAACAAGGCCACTGATAAACCAAGATGTCATTATCACATACATATTTTTTTACAATAAAAACAGTATTTCTAAGGAATTTTGCATTCCTAATATACAAATATTATCATACACTATAAATGGCATAGTTTTATATTACTGAATTCAAGAAAGCAAGTTATATATAAAATACTTTAGAGTACTTATTTATATGTACAATATTAATATACAGATATTAAAAACATCATGTTGACTTCTAAACCAAATCCAAGATTCTACTTTTTAAAAACCAATTTGTAAGAAAAACTTCATTAATGCTTGATCACAAATACAAATGTTTTAATAGACTGTGTTAATTCCTGTTAAGGGAAATGGAACAGCTGTCCCTGATTATCTATTTCCAGAGCATGATGAAGCAGACGATTTACAGAACAGAGGTATAACATCATGCATTGGACTATAATACAAAATAAAACTGAAGGCACCATTTAAATGAATATGCTATATAATGAAAAGGAATTCAAAGGGAAAAGATAAACATAAATATGATTTTGAATACTATCGTACCGATTTCCATGGTCCCCGATGCCATGAAACTTCAGCAGGACACAAATGAGTATTACAATGTGCTGTGTTAGGTGGCTTTTCTAATATTTCACAATTCTGATCATTCAAAACTTGGCCATTTGGAAGCTGACAAACCACTAATCGTGTCTTTAATCCACTGCCACATGTTTGGGTACACTGTAGAAAAACAAAGAATGGCCTTTTCATTATTCTTTACTAAGCCAAGCATCTACTCTATGTGGCTTGAGTAGGATTTGTGCATTCTATGCAGATACTCTTTTCTCATTAACAACAATCTTTAGTAACTAGTTATACAAAAGTGGCAAAAGTTAAATTGCCATATTTTGGAAAATTAAATGAGATTTTTAAGAGAGCTTGACTTTAAAGTGCAAAAAAACAATCATAGCCCCAGACTTACAAATGGGAGATGTAAATTTTGAAGTGTATTACACCAACTTGCAAGGATATCAAATGAAAACCAGTTAGAGAAAGCCTGAGAAAAGAATGAGTCACAGGGAGCTGCTGATATATAAAGTATCAGTAAAATAAGCAGGTTGTTTAATATGTTGGTTGTAATAAATATTTGATGGATATGTGGCATCACCACCAGTCAACTCACATCCTACTGACAATCTACGTATGGCTGTTGAAAGTACTTTGCATTGACTCCACAAGAGCTTAATCCTAGACAAAGATTTATAGGATTGCTGTCTAATATGTGCATCAGAATTTAATTTAGATGCAATAAATGCTATATTAAATGGACAACCAACATTCACACTGTTGGTATTTCTGTCTTGCAACTATTATGAGACTGACCCAAAAGGCAGAAAACATTAATTTAAATATATGGTATTCTTTTCATTTTCCTATTCATGATCACTGAATATATTTTTTAAACAATAACTACAATAAAGTTATCTTACTTCTCCCCAGCTCCCATAGTTCCAAACTGGACAGGGGCCAGAGTCACAATGGGTCAAGTCTGGTGGTTTCAGTGATTCATCACAATATGTAGCACTTCCTCCATTCTCATCTTGGCACACCACAACACGGCGGTGAAATCCACCAGCACAAGAACTTGAGCACTGGAAAGCCAACAAATATATATTTACCACACTAATTGTGAATACAGCATAGTATATTGCTTTAAAAAACTCCAAACGTTTTCTAAAAATGGAGAACTAGGGCTGATAAAAGAAGCTACAGGACAGTTACCTTAATATCTGTCCTGGGGGAAGTAGTTAAATATCATTAAAGAAAAATAAGCAAAAGCAGAAAAAAGAGAATAAGCTTTCTAGAAAGCATACACATTTCATCTATAGAATCTTAACTGATAATTACTGACCAGGAAAGGGAACCTGAAATAATGGTGAACAGCTTAAAATAAATATCAACCCAGCGTACAGCTACAAAAAGACAGTTTCTATGTTTGGAATAATTAGGAAGGGAACTGCCAGTGACTGGCAATATAATAATAACTATGCAATGGTCTGGATTCAGTTCCAAAAATGGGTTTCAAGGTGTGTGAAAGTGCAAATAGAGTATTGGTTTGCAACTCTGTAAAGCAGCTTTTCTCAGAGTATCTTAAGAATGATGTTACAGAAGTAGAAAAGGTGCAAAAACCATCCACCAAAATTATTTTTCTCTCTCACAGTGTTAGAATTCAAGGTCAGCTATTGAAAGAAAATGCAGGGAGATTCAGGACTGTCAAGAGGCAAGACTTTTTCACATAGCACATAATTAAACTGAGGAATTATTTGGCAACAGTTGTGGAAATGGAAACCAATTTGGATGGTTTTAAAAGGGGACTAAGCAGATTCATGGAGGATCAGGTGATTGGTGGCTATTAATTTTGATAGCTATTTACTACCCCCTGAACAATATGTAGTACCTATTAGTTGCTGGGATACTGCCCTCTAGTCCAAGCTTCTGAACTTCCCACATGCATTCAGTTGGTCACTGAGTGACACAGAATGCTGGACTAGCTAGGCTTATAGCCTAATCTGGTAGGGGTCTTCGTGCATTCTTACGTATTTCTTTTCTTGCCATTGTATGAGTTTAGCCTTCTCTTGTCTCCTCCCATTGTTGACATACCTATTTCTAGTCAGAGAAGCAGGATAGCATTTTAGTGACTGTATGTGCATCCATTTAAGAATATGCTCATGTGCTTAATGCCCAGAAGAATAGAAAAAATGGCAGTGAAAAAGAAAAAAATGACAGTAGTAGAAAAGAATGGTTTGTAAAGGTGCCACAAATACATGAATCACTGCCAGTTCTTTTTTTTATTTTATTTTTTTTATCCTACCTTTATTATTCTTATAAATAACTCAAGGCAGCGAACATACCTAATACTTCCTCCTCCTCCTATTTTCCCCACGACTCTGTGAGGTGATTTGGGCTGAGAGTGACTGACCCAAAGTTTCATGCCTAAGTAAGGCAGGACTAGAACTCAGAGTCTCCTGGTTTCTAGCCTGGTGCCTTAACTACTAGACCAAATTGGTCTAGTGCTTGTCCTTAAATCTCTCCCCACTTATTTTAACAGAAATTAATAAAAGAGATACTGAAAGGATAAATCACAACAAAAACAAGGATAAATAATATTATTATGATGATCATAATACAATGCATCTAAGATTTAAATTAAGGAAGTTTAAAATGTACTCCTCTACAAAGTACTGCATTTCTTACATTTTGTTATACGATATAAAAAATCGTTTAACATCAAGAAAATCCTTCTAACACTTACAGAATGCTTCATATAAATATAACAGATAGTAGCTGACTTACTGCTCCCCATGGTCCTGTTCTCCACTGGTTTCCTGAAGGGGAATGGTGGTTCTTTGAGTTTACATGGTCCTGTGAGTGATGGACCTTTTCTGTTGGAGAATAATCTTGATGGCTTGGACCTTCATGCAAATCCGGATTATAGCGATAAACTGGCTGGCAGGGTAGCATGTTACATTCTTGTTCTTTTGCAGGATGGCCTTCAGGATCACAGTAATTCTCATCAATTTGTTGATGATGGTTGACACAGACAACTTGTCTTGTTACTCTTCCATTACCGCATGTAACTGTGCACTGACCAAAAATTAACCCAACATTTAAATGACATAAGAAAAATAGACAACTGGTGAGAACATAAAACAAAAGAAAATAATTATCTATGTTCAAATAATGCATGCCATTTCAGAAATTAAGCAATGTAAGGTTTTTTTTTAATCTAGGTGCATATTTAATATTGGAAAATAAAAACATAATTGAAAAAGCATTATATTTACAGGTGACCAACTTCCAGCTTGCCAGACACCACATGGACTAAAGCAGCTTGAAAGTTCTTCAGGTTTGGGCAAATCAGCACAAAATGATTCTTCTGCTATTCTGCCATGACCATCCCGGCAGCTTACATAGCGAGCACGGTTTCCTCTTCCACAAGAAGCAGAACACTGCAAAGATGAATCAAAACCAAAATCATAACATACTGACCAAATGTATCTATATATTCATGAATTCTGAATATAGTGTGGCAAATATAGCATACCTGGCATATAGTTCAATTTATTTCCTATTACCCTTGGCCAAATACCATCAAATATTTATAAAGCTAGGAATGCCATTGTGTAAATAGCGTTTATAATCAATACTATAATAAAAAAGCTAAAGGTAACCTGAAATAGTCATATAGTCTTCGTTTCTTGAGAAAAGCTACAAGACAATCTAGTTGTATTCAAAATATACCAATACAGTACATTCCAACCCTGAATGGACTGTTCTGACTACCCTGAAAGTGTTCATTTCAATACAAACTATTTCAGTGTTGAAGATGCCTGTTTTAGGCTTTGAACACTTCTGGAATGGTCATAATATTTAAGGCCCAAATATTCTGTGATCGAGCATTTCTCAATGTTACTTACTGGAGTCCATGATCCATATCTCCACTGAGTCTCTTTGTTAGTCTGGATGACAGGCAGTGATATAGACCACACTTTGTTGATCTCTGGACAAAACATCTCACATTCCTTTAGGAAAAAAATGTATTTTGGAAATCTTCAGTAGCTGTATATATGGAAGCAAATTCACTTCAAACAAAATAAAATTAAGAAATCCTTATTTCTGTTACTTGTCTGTCTGATGGACGAATAGCAGCACTGCATTCTCTCTCGTCATCCAAAACAGCTCCGAAAACGTCAGTAAGACATTTAACTGCACGCATTTGGTATCCATGTCCACATGTAACAGAGCACTAAATACAAATTCAAAGGAACACAATGGCCATAATAATACTTGCACTGGCAGCCAATGATGGAAAAGTTACTTCTTTTAACTGTTCTAGTAATTAAGTCACCTTTTCATGACAGCTTTCTACTAGACTTTGAATTAATATAAAGGTTTTAGTTCTTAGTTTTAAAGTTGCCATCTCTGGAGTCCTCATTAATTCTGCTCTACTCAAGCTAAGAGTTGTTCAAACTCAGCCATCAACAGCCTTTCATTCGCGTATTCTAATTCATGCTATTAAATTTTTTTCATTGTATCAGATAATGTTATATAGTTTGAAATAACATTGGAATTTTGCTACAGTTTCCACACAGGATCTTTTTATATATAATGATGCTGCTTAAATTTCTATTTTATATGTTCCATCTGTTTATTCTAATTAATTAGCTTTACGTTTTATTTTATTTTTGCTTAAAGCAGAACTCTAAACAATCATTGCAAACTACAAAATTAATTATAAAAACTACTACAGGATGTCTATTATAATCATAGTATATAACTTAAAATATATAAAAACAGCATAGCCTCCTCCTCGATTATTTTTCCAACATTGATTCCTTCTAAAAATATTTAAGATTTCTTGAGTCCTCTTGTAATAAAGCTTTTTCTGTAGAAGTGCTTAACTGTAGCTGTTCCCCATCTTCACAAAGACTAGTTTAATGATGACCACAAATGCTGATAAAGAGCATTATGGAAAAACTTCTATGTACTTACTGCACTCCATGGCCCCACATGCCAAGCTGCACATTCATTAAGTTCACATGGTCTCACTGATTCTGGTATAGAGTTGGGATTGCAGAAAACATCTTCCAGATGGTCATCATTCAACTGGCACCATACCTGCCGATGTTTTACTGCTTTCCCACAAGTCACTGGACACTGTATGGTTAGGACAAGAGAGATGGCAAACAGAATTCGGCATTATTTGCTGCACAGTCCAAACAATGTTTATGGCAACACCTTTCCCAACAGAATTACAGACGGTACCAAATTATATCCTCAAACAGGAAAAAAACTTAATAATGGAATTTATATTTAAGTATTGACTTTTCTCATACCAACAGCACATTAAATTATCTTACATTTACTCTTTGTATAAAAATATAAAGTTAGTTTCAAAGAAGCAAGGTTGCATTACTTATTAAAGAGTGGAAACTTGGCTGTAAAATTTCTAGAAATAATTCTAGAAAGAAGTTTCCAAAGTGTGGTTACAAAGACTTGAGAAGAGAATGCTGACTCTCATTGTGAAGAATCCTGTTTTTAAAATATTGTCACATCCAGATTTGGATTACAGTCTTTCTATTTTTAAAAGGGACACATTTTTCTATTACTCAAACTTACAGAATTTTCCTCACTTTAACTTTATAGCACTGTAGAAAATGTAGTTACAAAGAATTATGGAAAGAAATGGTGTGGGGATTTTATCTTAACAGTGCAAGAGCAGGCAACCATTTTGCAGCACGTAGGTACTCTTCTTTTAAGCAATATTTTAACTCCCCAAACCCAAAATTGCAGATGAGGCTGCAATTTTCAACCTTATTTGGGTTTGTTTTTGTTATCATTTAAGAATTTGGGGGCTTTTGTTCATGAAGAAAAGCTGTTAAGCCTATTGTAGATTTGATGAACTTACTTTAATGCTTATTTGTGAAAAAAGAAAAAAAATGCATCAAGATAATTTGATAATATGCCATAAAATTTTGTTACTGCATCTGGAAGGCTCCCAAGATCACAAAAGATGCTCCATGTTTTACAGAAAATAATTATTCATTGCCTTGTGTTTGATTTGTTGCATTTCACAAGAAGAATCTTTACTGTAAGAATCAATGTTCCTTTCATTGGTAGGTTCTGTAATTGCTGTGTACTATCCTGAGCTAGTTGGTTGCCACTGAGAATATAGGTGATGTGGAAGAATTCTTCTTCCAAAGGCTGCCTCAGTATAAAATGTGTGTGATAGAAAAATGCAAACTTTTATCCAGGACACAAGAGTACCTCAGCCACTCGTTCAATTATAAGTACAGGTAGTCCTCGACTTATGACCATTTGCTTAACAACCATTTGAAGTTATGACAGTCCTGAAAAAAGTGACTTACAACTGGTCCTTGCACTTACAACAGTCACAGCATCCCCATGGTCACATGATCAAAATTCAGGTGCTTGGCAACCGGCATGTATTTATGAAGGTTGCAGTCCTGGGATCACATGATTACCATTTGCGACTTTCCCAGGGGGCTTTCGACAAGCATAGTCAATGGAGGAACCAGATTTGCTTAATAACCATGGTGATTCGCTTAATGATGTGGCAATTCGATTAATGACTGTGGCAATAAAGGTCGTAAAATTGGGTGTGACTCACTTAACAACCGCATCACTTAGCAATGGATGTTCTGGTCCCAATTATGGTCAAAAGTCAAGGACTACCTGCATACATAAAAGACCTGCACATACTATTTATCCCAAGTTTACTGCATGTAATTTTGGGAGTAATTCTGTGCTATGCTTGGAAAATGGATGAGTCTAGGCCAAAAAGATAAATAATCCAGTTCTTGAAATCTGTGAAATATGAGTGACCTTTGAGTATTTCTGAAGACCACCCATCCTGTAGAAGATTGTTTGCTGATTACAAGGGCACTAAGCTCCAATACACTACTCACAGAAGTCACATCTAAGGGCTGAAGCTGGTGAAACAGGAACCATCTAGGAAAAAGCTGAGGATTCAAACCCTAAGTTTTAAATGGGGTTTTTAAATAAGTTTTAAATTAAAAAGGGTTTAACATCTACTAGACAACCTGTGACCCACTGGGTTCACTTTTCAGAGATATTTTCTTACCTAAACAAAGAAACAGAATGACTTTCCTTGTGGGAAGCTGGCAGGGAGCGTAGGAAATTTCCCTCCCTCCCTCCCTCCCTTCCTTCCTCTCTCCATCCCTCGCTCCCTCTTCCTTCCTTCCCTCCCGCACTCTCCCCAACCCACACCACACCCTGCACACCCTCCCTGACCCACACCCTCCCTGACCTGCTCTGCACTATCTCGCACCCTCCCTGACCCACACCACGCCTCTAGTGCTCTCCCCCACCTGGCAACAGCCACTTACCTGCCTGCTGGCCTTGGACTTGCAACTTCCTGCCAGCTTCCCCACTGACATTGCTTGTGGGAAGCTGGCAGGGAGTGTTGGCAATCATGATCCAGTTTAGACTTCCTGCCAGCTTCCCCACTGACTTGTGGAAAGCTGCCAAGGATAATTGGAAATGACAATCACATAACTGCAGCTGACTGCGGCAGCACAGTGGCACTGAAGCAGCCACAATTTTGCCAAATTTCAATCCCATGGGGGTAATGGGTCCCAGATTTTAGAGGCATTCTGTAAATTAGCGCATATGAGATACCTTGGTTCAGAAATTGTTGCCCTATGATGCACTGTTTCGCCCAATTAAAGGTTACAAACAGACGAACAGACATGAAAGTTTTAGTAGTATAAACATGTTCTACAGTAGGCAGGTCTTATATATGATTATTTTATCTTCTGCAGTAAAGAAATGTCACTGTGTGTTTGTGAAGCTTCTGCTATTAGCTAGTTACTGAGTGCAAAGTTGTGTTTCAGAAGAGTAGAGATTTGACTTCTGACATCACATGGTTTCTGCCTTCTAAGCAATTAAAGGACCTATAATCCAAAGTTGGATGCTTCTTACTTAAATGTGAAATGTTCTTATATACTCCTGCCATTAATTTTCAGCATATTATAATCAGATTGAAACATGCATTAGAGGCATTCCTGCATCTCCACTGAACATAAGAGTGTAAAACTGCTCCATTATTTAACATTAACATGGCCTGGCAATATTCCAGTCCCTGATAGCTGCATATCACGTTTCACTTTTTCAGACTGAAAAAACAATGTGAAATGAAGCTGCATAGAATACCTCACTCCAATCACTAGCCATCCAGCTGGGACACAAGAACTCATTGCAACTCTGAGTAATAATTTTTGGAAGCCCATGGCATTCTCGATCTGTAAGCCGACGGCCAAAATTGTTCATACAAAAAGCTTCTCTTGTTCTCGCACCTTTTCCACAGCTCCTCGAACACTGATTTTAGGGAAAAGAAAACATATAATCTACCACTATAAGTATTCATTACTATAATAATATATAATATAATGAATCCTGATGATAGGATATGAATGTGCAGCCCTTAAACAGCACACCAAGGATTTGGAAGCCAAATCAGATCTGGTTGCCATACTCAGAGATATGTTCTTAGTTAGTCATTCACCTTTTTTCAAGCTGGCTAAATATTTAAGCCAAACAACAGTTCCCACATTCAGAAGAGCCCTAACTCTGGCAATATTTAATGCTTCCCAAAAACGGTTATTGAGGGTACACTACATTTGAACAAAGATTTTGCCTTTATGGTGAAGGAGTCCCTGAAACAAATAATTCATGTCCTTTTATATTGCTCCTATTACAAAAATGCCCAGTTGCAGTTAATAACACACATCTAATCAGATTTGTAGACCACCTGGATCCACTTTATTTATAGTCCTATTATCTGATCCATGCGATCTTATGTCTCTTAATGTAGCTAAGCTCTGTTTACTATTTGTAAAATACATCCCACCTTGATCACACCAGTTTTATAATTATTGGGTTTTACTGTTGTTTTTGTTTGCTGTCTCAGACTGTGTTTGCTTTCTGTTTTTGAGCTGGTCTATGACTGTAATAAAATATTTTGCCTCATCTATGCAAACACACTTATTATCTATACACACATACCCATGGATATATATTTATATACAGATACACACACACGCATGCTCCAACAGATATTTGTATGCAACAGTAAACTTTTGGGGCCTTATTAATAACTTTTATGTACAGCAAAAAAAAAAAGGAACAATGTTCCAATTTCCACATCTGATGTACTCAATGTATTCTGAATCCATAAACACCTGCACATAAATAATAAGCATACATACACATTTGTATAAAAACATTAGCTTCTGTTCAGTTAGGGATTCATTGAAATGTAATGTGTCCAAGGATGCCTAAACTTGTACATATAACTGTGTATATTTAACATCCAACATTTTAATTTTAAACAATCTTAAAACTTGTCAGCAAAAATTAATTCTAAAAATAGAAAATTATAAATGTGTACCTCTGACCATCCTGTATAATGCCAGCTTGTTTGAAGACAGTCTCCATGGCAAGTTTCTCGGACTGGTGGTTTCTGCTGATCAGCACAGTATTTATCATCCACTGGAACACTCAGTCCTTTAGAAACAGAGTACTTCATACAGTGGATGTCTAAAGACCGAAACCCTGGGCCACACCGAGTTGAGCACTCACTTTTGCCAAAATTATGCCACCTACAAGTATAAACTATTATATAAAACTAAATATATTTTAGGGTATAAAGATAACTTAATTCTAAATAGCTTTTAAGAACAATTAAAACAAAAAGTAAGCATTCTTACTGCTTTGTAATGATGCAACTTAAGAAACATGAATTTCAGGTATTTTAGAATCATTTAAGCAAATCAAATGAAAAGTTCAGCTACAGAAAATTAAATAGGTTTATGAAAATTAATTCCAAGTTATAGAAGTAAGTTTAAATATACAGAATTATGAAGAAATTTGTTACGCATACAATTTCCTAAAACTGTAGAGGTATTACTATAACTAGCCTATTTATAATCAATATTTTTATTATTTACCTTAATTCACATTCAGTATTACACAGTTCTGTCACAGCTACAGGAGGTGTTATATGCTCACATCTTTGGTCGGATACTACCAAGTGATCACTCTTTCTTATGCAGGAAACTTTCCTTCTGCGGATACCTTAAAACCGAAAAAGTGAAATTACAAATTTAGAGCAACCTAGCAGAATACATTATTTTGCCCTTTATTTAAAAAGTGCTTGATCTAATCAGAACTGGCAAAGAATACCGTTTTTTCCCCTATGTCCCTGTCTTTTTTTTTTTTATGTCACCTACAAGTATTAAAAACAGAAAGATAAAACTAACAAGAACTAATAATCAAAAAACAGAATAGAAAAAAAGAAAGAATAAAGAGAAAGAAGGAAAGCAGAAGTGCAGAAAAAGAAAGCTAGCATTGTCTGACAGTGAACCACAATGCCACACATCAGCATAGTGACTTCATCCTGGAATTCAATTCCTCCTACAGTTAAATACATATATTAATTCAGAAGATTTTGAAGATTAATAAACAATTGAAACCAGAAACATTTCTTTTGGGGGTCGATGGATAAACAATTGGAAAAATCTCATGGTTCTTTGTTTTTATATATGATAACTGCAACAAGACTTCTATATGCTCAAAGGTGGGAAAACTCCATATTACCTATAGTGGAAAAATGGATGGTAAAATTGATGGAGCTAGCTGAGATGGCAAATTGACATCTTTGATTAGAGAAAAGACATTGATTAATGTAAACACTAATTGGAAGCCTCTCTTGGACTTTCTGTGAGTAACAGAAAAAAATGAAATTATGAAACATGGATTTTTTGATTAGTAAAATTAATATAGAAAAAATGGATGTTAAGTTGTAATCCTAGGGTAAGAGTTTAACGTATGTTTTAGTTATACTGTATCTGCTGTAAAAGAAGTTGGAAGTCATTCTTTTGTTGTATTTGTTTTTTTTTCTTTCTTTTTCTGCACTTCTGCTTTCCCTCTTTCCCTTTATTCTTTCTTTTCTTCTATTCTTTTTCTTGAGTATTAGTTCTTGTTAGTTTTATCTTTATGTTTTTAAAATTTATAAAGTTTAAAATTTAATAAAGTTTTTGTTTAAAAAAAGACCAGACTAATAGTCATTCAGGGACATATTATGACTTTGTTATCCCCAAATCATATACATAAGGAATTAATAAGGATTCACATGTAGATCATCAATACCCTTCTTGCAGCCCCCCCATTATAAATTTGGCACTGCTTTTTTTTTTTTTTTGCATATTTTTGACATCTGGGGTGAATTTAAAGGGAAAAAGAAAGACAGCTGAATTTTAGCCTAACGCAACTAGAGGTTTAGAGCTAGATTTCAGGTTTTTAGTAATTGAATATTTGATTGTATTAAAACATTTTATAATTTTCTCAGAAGCTCTTAGTTCTTCCTGAGCTGAGGATCTGATATTCTGTGGCTTTTAAAAAGTCCTAAAATACATTTTAAAATAAGCTTTCAACTATTGATTGGAATATCCATGGTTTTTCAAAATGATTTCTGTTCTTAAGCTACCAAAAAACATAGCCAACTGTTGACATAATGAATTTAATAAATGGAATTAATGAACAGTTGTTTCTTACACTACTTTATAAATAAATTGGTCTTACAGTCTTCTGGGCTAGAAGCTTCATTTTCACTCATATTTTCATTAAAGTTTGTAAACTAATGTTTTATTTTAAGCTGAGAGGCAGCTGTTATATTTATTGTTAACATTTTAATAGTAAAACCATTGTACTGAAATGTGAATTTTTAATCTATAACAAAAGCTATATTGTATACATGCATTTACTGTCATAGTTAAACCACAGCAAGCTGAAATAGAAAGTTATCATGGAAGAACTTTTTAACTATCACAAAAGAAAAGAATGATACCTTGACACATTTTGGTGCAGTCTTGCCAAAGTCCATATGGATCCCAAGTGAAAAGATCATTTCCTTCTTCTATAGGAATACTGAATGAATAATGAATATCGGGGTTGTACAAATTCCCTACACATAACACCTAAACAGATTTTTAAAGACATATCAGTGAAATTTTTCCTTACTTTATATGTGTCAAAAATATGAATGTTTATATTTTTTTGAATATAAAAAATTCACCTGCAAAAGAATGTTGTCTTCTAGTCGGCCAGTACTGTTTATTCTCTCCACTGTGTTGTTTGAACCACTGTATTCAAAAGAAGCTCCATACATACTGATTTCTTTTTTAGAGAGACTTACAACAAAATTCCCATTCAGAAAGAAACTTCCTTGCATAGTGGACAATGCTAAATAATGTTAAAAAACACAACCTTCATTAGTGCCTATTTACTTCACAGGTATATGCAATGTGTAAGTCATGATAATTAATTTTTTTTGTGCAGAGGTCTTTAAAAAATGGAGATGTAAACAGTGTGCTCCCATTCACCTATTATTTATGTACATGTAAAACAACAAAGCATGTAAACGAAACACTGTATAAAGAAAAAAATTACATGAAGATTTCCCATTATTGCTAGAAATCAGGGCAGATATTTGGCACTTTTTGGGCTTAGCACAAGTTCTGTTGCTTATTCTGGGTTTTTCTGTGCTGGTACAAACATTCCAATTATTCTTTGGAACTCCTGAATGCATGAAAGAATCTTAGAGAGATGGCTGCCATACAGAAGCGAATCTGACTGAAGCTGACATTTGAGTCCTGTGTCTTTGTGATATGCAAGAACAATGGTGTTTTTGCTTAGCGTTGTTTTCCCTGTTCACTCGTTTCCAGAGGTAAGCAATGATAATATGCCATATATTCAATTTATTCAATTTTATTTTGATAGTGATCTATGTATCTGGTATAACACCCAGGAAATTTTGATCCTTTTTATGTACAGTTGTTATCTGATCAGTATAATTCACTCTCCTTGAACATAGCTAAATTTTGCTATACTGCCTGTAAAATTAGGCAGACTTTGATTGTTTACCAACAAACACACCACCAATTATAATATTTTATCTTGTTTTGCTTTTACTTTATTTTTATTTTTAATGTGTTTCTATTTGAAATTCTGGTCAGCGACCATAATAAAAATTCTATTCTATTCTATTCTATTCTATTCTATTCTATTCTATTCTATTCTAT